TATATTATTAGAAGCATTATGTTTCATACATCACTAGTACAAAAAGGTTCTTTTACGTTGGATATTTCAAGGTTTTTACGTCAAAAAATGCTCCGACGTAAATGCGAGAGGCGTAAATTTACGTCGTCTCTGAGAGACGACGTAAATTTACGTTGGATATGCCTATGCCCGACATAAAAAAGGCCTGAGATTTTACGTCGGCCAGTGCTAGGTCGACGTAAAATCTGACATTTTTTAAAAAAATTTGTTCTTTGATTTTTGATATACCCAATATAAAATTTGCATATATAAACCAAGAAATCCAGAATACAAATTCAAATTATATTTTAAAATTAAATGATAAAAAGAAAATAATATATAAATCTTAAAAAGCATAAATTATGACAATGTAAATCCTATTATCCTAAAAAAGCTATAAAACATATGTTTATCAATCCTATCAAACTAGAAACATAATATCTAACTAACTAAACTTAGAAATCTAACTATTGTATACTTTGAAGAAAAAAAGTTGCCCATTATTCTCTTATCTTGATGATCTCATCTTCGGGCAATGGAGATGGATCTTAAAAGACCTGAAACATTAATTTAAGTATCATTAATATGCAATGTTAATTATCGTAAAGGTAAATATACTTAAATAAATTTTGATATGAATTACCTGCACCCAAGAATCAGTAATACCTGCAGAAACTATGGCTCTCATCCAATACATGATGTAATAGCCACATTCAAACGAGTCTTGTTGCTTATTACACTAAAATGAGAAACAAATAACTATTATTTCCAAAGTCAATAAATTTAAATATTATTGCCTGTATTAATTAATTTGCTAACCTTAGGGTATATGAAGTGCAATGTCTTTGATGATCTGCTTCTTCCACTTAAAATATTAGCTCTAGAGACGATTCTAATTAATTGAAATAAAATTAGATGTTAGCCAATATATATAATTACAGTTTTAAAACATAATGAAAAATTTTAGTTACCCTTGTAATTGGCATTTAATTTCGTGGCTTGGTTTTCGATGTAGTGAACAAAACCACACCACGGTGTATTCCTTAGGAATGATTACCATTAACTGCCAATGGGACCTACATTGTATGACAAACAAATTAGTTATAAAATTACCATGATTAAAAAACCAATTAAAAAACTAACCCGTCAATGTATGGAGCCATGTATATATCTCTTCCTGATTCACTCATCCATGTTTGCATATATTGTTGGATGTGGACCTGAGTGTTTCCTGATTTTTGGATGGATTGAGGCTCAATAAATCCATATACTTCTGCTTGTGCTTGCTCCACACTCAATTTGTCCACGTACCTAACACAAATAATTATTATAAGTTAAATGTAATTATTGTAAATTTAGACTCATAAAAGAAAATATGACTTACATGGCCCACAGCTGTATGATAGATATATTTAACATGGAGTTTCCCCCAACAATCTCTAATGCATCAGGCAGGGATATGTATAGTGGAACATCAGAGCTATCAACTCCAAAAACTCTAATGTCCCACTGCAATTGAATTGGTCTCTTCCTTAATCGTGGTAATATGGTATTAAAAGCATAGATATGGGATCATCCTCAGCTTCTGCGATATTAGCATGATCAACATGAGGGTCTCTCATGACCTCCTTACCACGATTGATAAAATCCTAAAGAAATAATCAAAATTAGTTAAACAATAATAGAATTATAAGAATATAAAAGAGCAATAATAGAATTACCTTTGCCCGCGCTGAAAGCGGCATGACCAAACGTTTTGGCCAAGCTAAGAATGTGCCGGTTGCCTGCCCCACTAGTTGAACCTCTATATTGGGCAAAGGCACTGGACCAACAACATCTTGAACTTGGTCAACCACAACCCGTGTCCAGTCTAGCTGTAGAGGGACACCATGGATGGTTGAGCCACCCTCAAATACTTGGCCAATAGCCACTAACCGTGGGGGGTCATCCTCAACATATAACTCACACTGTTTTGCTACATTAGTGTGAGTCTGTTCCGCTGAGGGATTTGGAGTAGCATAACTCCCTTTAGTGCTGACATGAACACCATCATGAGGAACTACAGTCTGTTGCTGAGAACGAGCCAAAAGTTTAAACTTCTGTTCAAACTCTTCTATAATGTTCTTCAATTTCTCTTCAAACTGCATCTACATTCTCTGCATAGCCTCTTGACTGCAAGAGTCAACAGTGCTCCTCGATGATCGTGCACCAAAGAAATCTCGGTGGCTCCAAGAACCACCAACACCACGCACACGACCTGCGTGCTCTGGCCTTCCTATGGCCATTGTGAGGATATCATCCCGACCATGGGAAACAAATGAGCCCTAGGTGGTCTGCTCAACTAAACCCTCCTGTAACATATTAACAATAAGTATACCCTAAACTACACTTATGAATTAAATGAGTTGGAATGAAGAGTCTTAGTTTGTATATTTTTACTTACTATTTTATCAGCAACGACCCTTGCAGACTCATAAGTCATTTGCCCATTTGATTTTGTCCGGGCTGCTATCCACATCTCCTGGCGGGGTGGTGACTCCACACGGTCAGTAGACTCAACCCCTGCTGCCTCTACCCTAGCCTTCATCATTTTTTTTTATAATTAATATCCCCCTCTTGACAATAGATGGGGTGCATCATTCTTGCTCTATCGTTCTTGGGCAGTGTCGCAACCCGAAAATTTTCGATCTCGCGACTAATGGTTTAGACATCCTTTTGAAAATCTCATTAATTAAGGAATTCCCGGACGCCAGACTAATCCTTAATCAGTGGTTTTGAAAATAAGTTCATAGAGTCGCCACCAGTGTTTTACTCAAAACATTGGAAAAAGAAAAGATTTTTAAAAGTCCAATAATGGCCTTGATAACCAGAATTGGGTTCAGGGGTTGGTTACTTGTAGAGAAGGTATTAAACACCCCTACAACGCCCTAAATCAGTACCCTATGATGAAGATAACATAATAAGAATTAATAGTTTAAATATTTAATCCCCTTTATTAATGATTAATTACATGAAAATTAAATTACACGGTGAACCCCTAAGAGATCTACATAATTGCGTTTATTATAGTAATACGTAAAATAAAAGAAAAGAAAGATAGAACAAGAGATTGATGAGTAATACCTTGTAACAAGATTTATTGGATCTTCAATTATGGAGGTTTTAGGTGCTTTGTGGCAACCTTTCACACTACACAAAAGCCTCATAGATCTCAAGAAATACAATATGAGAGAGAGAGAGAGAAAAAGAGAGAAATTTCGAGCTCTAAGGAGTGCTGAACGAAATTTTTTTTTGAGCCCCTCTAACTGTTGGCCGAGATTTTCTATTTATAGGCATTAGATGTGGGCCGGAACAGCCCGTTCTGGATTCGGAACGGCCCGTTCTGGATTCGAATGTTATGCAGTATATTTGCACCCTAGAACGGCCCGTTTTGAAATCAGAACGGCCCGTTCCGGGAACCAGAACGGCCCGTTCTGATTTTAGAATGGCCCGTTCCGGGATACAAATTTAAGCTCCTTTGATTGGTTTGGAATGGCCCGTTCTGTTCTAGAACGGCCCGTTCCAACCTAACATTTTTAGGCCTTTTAGGAGTCTTGGAACGGCCCGTTCTAATTCCAGAACGGCCTGTTCTGTACTTGGGAACGGCCTGTTCTGATTTTGGAACGGCCCGTTCTGGGCCACTAAAAAAAGTTGATTTGGGCTTTTGTCCCTCTGATGTCCTATTTTGCGGATTGTATTCCCCCGGACGAAATCAGGTGTCTACAGCTGCCCCTCTTTACTTGTCCTTTGGAATAGCTGTGTTACTTTTCCAAAGGCAAGTAAAAACGTAGACATTTCATCCGGGTCGTCTTCTCGTCTCTATGTTGACGCTTCTACGTTGCTTCCCTCGGATAGGTGTATTTTCTTGTATCCTCGCCCTTTATAGCAGTTGAGTGCTGGGTTGCGTACTCTAATGGGTAACAAGGGTGACAAACTATACACCTGATCTTCAGTCTTAGAAGCTCCATTGTCTCTCTTGTGATAGTGAGGTGGAGATCCGGTTCTTCAACATGCTGATGTTGAGTATTCTTGTGTCGGCTTCTCCAGGCCACCTACTGATATTATGAGTATTATTGTGCCAGCCTCTCCAGGCCGCCTGCTGATACTGTGAGTATTATTGTGCCAGCCTCTCCAAGCCGCCTGCTGATATTGAGAGTATTATTGTGCCGACCTCTCCAGGCCGCATGCTGATATTGTGAGTATTATTGTGCCGGCCTCTCCAGGCCGCTTGCTGATACTGTGAGTATTATTATGCTGGCCTCTCTAGGCCGCCTGCTGATACTGTGAGTATTATTGTGTCGGCCTCTCCAGGCCACCTGCTGATATTGTGAGTATTATTGTGCCGGCCTCTCCATCTCGCCTACTGATATTGTGAGATGAAGACGGTGGCTGTTCGGTATTTGGTGGTCGATGCTCAGTCGTCGTATAGCATACTGATCGGAAGGCCGACTTTGAACAAGCTAGGAGCGATCGTTTCCACTCCCCATCTGAAGGTAAAGTACCCGTTGCCAAGTGGTGCTGTGGGGGTTCTCAGGGTAGACCAGGAGGTTGCTCGAAAGTGCTACGGGGATAGTTTAAAGACGCGAAGACGACTGTACACTACGCAGGTAGAGAAGGAGATTCATTCTGTCGAACTGGATCCTAGGATGGGACAGTTTGACCACCGACCCGCCCCAGCAGAAGACGTCAAGGAAGTGGAGGTAATGGAAGGAAGAAACGTAAAGATAGGTACTTCGTTGACTCCAGAAGACGAGGAGAAATTGGTGAGGGTTCTAAAGGATAATGTGTTAGCATTCGCGTGGCATTCCAGCGACATGCCTGGGATCGATCCAAATTTCCTGTGTCACAAGTTGTCCATTGACCCTGGCGCAAAGGCAGTAATTCAGAAGAGAAGGAAATTTGGCGAGGAAAAGCGAAGGGCTATCGCGGAAGAGACGCAGAAACTACTGATGGCAGGACACATACGGAATTAGTCGGTCGTTAGGAATTTTCATCCCCTCAAAGGTTTCCCAGAATAAAATGTCCGCGGAACTTCCTTGGTCAATCAACACACGTTTCACATTGTACCCCATGACAATCGCCGACACGACGATGGGGTCATCCTCATGAGGCGCTACTCCTTCGTAATCCGAATCTGAGAACGAAATCTCAGGCTGAGACGGTCGCCTGAATTCCGAGACCGTTAACACCGACCGAGTGTACCTCTTTCGGGCCGCAGAAGTAGGTCCCCCGCCGGCAAAACCTCCTGCTATGGTGTTGAAATCTCCATGGATGGGCTGCTGATGAGTTTCCGAGACCTTTGTTGGCGAGTCTCTGGGAGGAGTTTTCTCTCTACGCCTATCCCTCCTGGCGTCATCATGTGTGCGCCTAGACCGCCTATCGGACGAGCTTCCTTCTTGCTTTCTCGCCACAAACTCCCTCAGTCGTCCCTCCTTGATCAGGCGTTCGATCTGTCTTCCTAGGACGAAGCAATTTTCCGTAGAATGTCCATGAGCCCTATGAAACTCACACCAGTCGGTTTTCAAGGGCCCTAACTGACGCTCCGTCGCCGCCGGAAATTTGAACAACGATGCGCTGTTGACATCGCGGAGTATCTGACGCCTGGGAACAGTAAGTGGGATGAACCTCTCTTCCTCATTGTTGCGTGTCCATTCGCCCCTTGCCCGACCACTTTGTTCGGCCTGCCTGTAACTGCCCTCCTTCATGTTGTATCGGTCACGCCGTTTGCTCCAGTCTGAGCGCGGTCGAAGATGCTTGTTTCCCTCCTTATTGCTGCCCCCTGCTTCTCGGTCCTCCGCTGCCCTTTTAATAATCTGATTCTCCTCCGTTTTGATGTGGCTCAAGGCGAAAGCCCTCACCTCCGACATCGTTTGACAGTTCGCTCTTTCGAGTGCGATGTCGAAAGCTCCCGATCTCAAACCTTTCTGAAATGCAATGACCGCCATCCTCTCGTCCAACGACGCTATCTTCAGCGCAACCTCGTTGAACCTTTGCAGGAAGTCTTTCAGCGACTCCTCGCGTTGCTGCCTGAGGTCGAACAGGTCTGACGTGATCGGCGGTTTCTTCTTGTTAGCGGCGAACATGAAGAGCCGGCTAAAGACGTCAAAGTCTGTGATTGATCAGTCCGGGAGTCCGCTGAACCAGTCAAGCGCTGCCTTCTTGAGTGTGCCCATGAACAATTTGCATCGCGCCTCCATGCTTCCTCCACAGATCAGCATTTGAGCACGGAAGTCCATCAAATGCTGATTAGGGTCTTGAGTTCCGTCAAAGGGCTCCACTTGAGGTATGCGATGATCCCTAGGGATGGCCTCGACCTCTATAGCTTCCGAAAAAGGTCGAAAATCCCTGGGGACTTCCAGCATGACATCCTCCTCTACCGTCCTGGCGCTAGCTTCTAACCTGGCCTCCATCTCCTTCGCTCGCCTCCTGATCGCCTCATTCTCACGTTGAATGGCTTCCTCTCTCTCCCTAGAACGCGCACGTATGCAGGGGCTCTAGTGGGTTTTGCAGGGGATCAAGTCATTGCAAGGGGATATGCCGATTTGGAGACGACCTTTGGCCAAGGAGCCCAGATGAAGACGGTGGCTGTTCGGTATTTGGTGGTCGATGCTCAGTCGTCGTATAGCATACTGATCGGAAGGCCGACTTTGAACAAGCTAGGAGCGATCGTTTCCACTCCCCATCTGAAGGTAAAGTACCCGTTGCCAAGTGGTGCTGTGGGGGTTCTCAGGGTAGACCAGGAGGTTGCTCGAAAGTGCTACGGGGATAGTTTAAAGACGCGAAGACGACTGTACACTACGCAGGTAGAGAAGGAGATTCATTCTGTCGAACTGGATCCTAGGATGGGACAGTTTGACCACCGACCCGCCCCAGCAGAAGACGTTAAGGAAGTGGAGGTAATGGAAGGAAGAAACGTAAAGATAGGTACTTCGTTGACACCAGAAGACGAGGAGAAATTGGTGAGGGTTCTAAAGGATAACGTGTTAGCATTCGCGTGGCCGGCCTCTCCAGGCCGCCTGCTGATGATGTGATTGCCCCATTATTATGGGAGAACGCCTGATGAAGACGAGGATTGCTGGTAGGTGGTGCCCTTGTGATGGTGGACAAAGGAGTAAATGCTGAGTATTATTATGTCTGGCCTCTCCAGGCTGCCTGCTTATGATGATGATGTGATTGCCCCTTTTCTTTGGGAGGACGTCCGATGAAGACGAGGATTGTTGGTAGGTAGTGCCCTTGTGATGGTGGGCAAAAGAGTTGATGGGTGACAGGGATTCTAGTGTTGCCCCTGCCATGTGAGTATTATGATGCCTCTCCAGGTGCAATGCTGAGTCCTTTTGATGATTGCTTGTTTGATTATTGATGGATGGTTGTGGAATGAACAACTGCCCCTAGGTGGATGGGCAAGAGATGTTTGTTGTGCCCTTGTATTGGTGGGCAGAGAAGTGGATGGCTGGCAGGGATTCCAATATTGCCCCTGCCACGCGAGTATTATGATGCCTCTTCAGGTGCTGCTTGTGATAAATATTTTCTGAAATTCATTTTTGTTTAGCTTCGGCTCTTTCATATTTGAAGCTTTCCTTTTTCTGCTGTTTTTCTAAATGCTTCAGCTTTTTTCAACGTGTATGAAGCTTGCCTTTTTCTGCTATTTTTCTAAATGCTTAGGCATTTTTCAACGTGTATGAAGCTTGCCTTTTTCTGTTTTTATCTTTTGTTGTCATCATTGGTGGAGGGATCACATGATGATGTTATTTGTTGAATCTTTATTGATGAGTATTATTTTGGAAGCCACTCCTAGCTTTGGTAGGAAAACATTCCTGGTCTTGGCATTTTTATGGATCATCATTCGGTTGAGAAGTGAAGCGCGATGGCCTCTTTCTGCTTATGGGCTTGCTTATTTGGTCGACTCTATTCTATTAAAGACTCGTACCCGTTGCCAAATATAGACTGCCTGGTGGATGGGGCATCGGGATACGAGTTACTAAGCTTCATGGATGCCTATTCGGGGTACAACCAGATCCGAATGCATCCTACAGATGAAGACAAGACCGCCTTCATAGCCGATCAGGCCAATTTCTGCTACAGGGTTATGCCGTTCGGTTTGAAGAACGCAGGGGCGACCTACCAGCGACTGATGGACAAAATCCTTGTGAATCAGCTCGGTCGGAATGTGGAGGCTTATGTTGACGACATGGTGGTGAAATCGGAAAGCGTCAGTCGGCACTTTGACGACTTGCAGGAATTGTTCGACACCATCGGCAAATACCAGCTGAAACTGAATCCTGAGAAGTGCTCTTTCGGCGTCCAGGCGGGAAAGTTCCTCGATTTCCTGCTGACTCACCGCGGCATTGAAGCGAACCCGGACAAGTGCTCGGCGATCATCGACATGAGGAGCCCCTCTACAGTAAAGGAGGTACAACAATTAACGGGAAGGATGGCCTCACTCTCCCGATTTATATCAAGAGCGGCGGACAAAGCCCTGCCTCTTTTTCAATGTTTAAGGAAGAACGACCGGTTCGCTTGGACGACTGAGTGTGAAGAGGCTTTCTCCGAGCTCAAGAAGTCGTTGGCATCTTCGCTGATCCTGACAAGACCACGACTAGACATGCCCTTGTTGGTATACATCTCGGCATCCGATCGTGCTGTCAGTTCAGTTCTGGTGCAAGAGCGTGAAGCTTCCCAAGTTCCTATTTACTTTGTAAGTAGGGTCTTGCAGGGAGCAGAGACAAGGTATCAGAGAATCGAGAAACTGGCCCTCGCGATACTGATCACTGCGAGGAAATTGAGGCACTACTTCCAGAGTTACGAGGTGATAATTCGTACTGATCATCCGATTCGACAAGTCTTGCAAAAACCCGATCTGGCTGGTAGAATGATGAAATGGTCGGTAAATTATTTATTATATATTTAAAAGTTTAAATAATAATTTATATATTTTAAAATGATAAGATAAAAAAACACTGGTGTAACTTTTACTAAGTATTACACCACTCAATAACATTATATTAAATGTGAATTTTGTAAATCCAACCGTTAGATTGAAAGTTCATATCACTATATATGTTTATATGAAATTCTGTTAAAATTGAACAACAACTTGAAGGTAATCAAAGTGTTCATATTTTAATATATTTTGAAATGTATATATTACGTCAATTTTGTTTTACAAGAATAAAGTATCAAATCATCTTGAATTAATATAAAATTTTGTATATATGAGCTAAGAGTAAAAAACATTCAATCTAATGGTTGAATTTATAAAATTCACATTTAATATAAAGTTATTGAGAGGTGTAATATTTAGTAAAAGTTACACCGGTGTTATTATAACCCTTCTCTTTTAAAACATTATTTTTATAACTTAAATTTTAACATTTTAAATAAATTATTAAATAACTTAATATATTTATTCATCTTAAATCTAAGATATAAAATTCAAAAAATGTATTTATTCTTGTTTTATTTTCTAATTATCAACTATTAATAAAATACTAATTTAAAATCTTATCTAATTATATCATAATATTTTCATATCAAATTTAAAACCAGATATTAGTTATACAAAAATATCAAGATCATATAGTAAATTGTCAATAAGATTCTAGTTAAATAGTTCAAAATAATTAATTTTTCGACTATATTCCGTAGATAACTAACCATTATCTACAGAAAAAATTTCGTAGGTAATATTCCGTAGATAACTAAACATTATCTACAAAAAAAAATTTCATAAATAATATTCTATAAATAACTAAAAATTATTTACAGAAAAAATTCTGTAGGTAATCTAAATTTTTTCATTACCCACCCATCATATGTTATTTAATGAAAATTTTCGTAGATAACTAAAAATTATGTACAGAAAAAATTTTGTAGGTAATATTCTGTAGATAGCTAAACATTGTCTATAGAAAAAATTTCATAGGTAATATTCCGTAGATAACTAAACATTATCTACAGAAAAAATTTCATAGGAAATATTCTGTAAATAACTAAAAAAATTATCTACAGAAATTCATAGGTAATATTATATAGATAATAACAGTTTTTCTTGTAGTGCAAGTCTCTCTTCTCATGCCCAGTGCCACCAATCCTGCGCTCAGCATGAGTGCCATAGAGACCTCTCCTTTAGAACCACGCCCGACGCCTTGAAGGCGCCCTCGATGCAATATCAAATTCTACCCTCATGTAGAACCCGATTTCGCACAATACCTAAAAATTATAAAAATTTCACAATATGCAACACCTCAAATAGCATCTATACAACACATACAACATAAATTCATCATCAAAAACAACATGCATCTAAAAATGATCACCAATCAATCATGAACCTCCATGAACATCTTGAACTCTCAAAACCCTTGAAAACCCCTTTCAATTTCATCATTTCTCAATCAACAGAAATAAACAACTCATTCCAATCATCACATCCTTGTAATACACCTTAAATTTGAATCATTGCTTCCCTTGCCTCCTCAAGACTCAAATCTCTAAGAGAGAAGAAAAGAAGTGATTTTGTACACCACATGCTTGAAGTTTCGACCCCAAAGCTCAAACTTATTCACCACCTCTTTGATTACCTAAGAAATGGTAGAGAAAGAAGGGTTTAAGTGAAAATGAAGAAAAGAAGAAGAAAGTAAGACAAAAGTAATCCCTTCTAGCTCTCCCTAAAGTTTTGAGCTTCCTTTTGGAAAAGAAAGTCTTCCTTCTATACCTTTTCTAAGTTGGATCCACTTACCTCTAGTCCAACCCTCTAGAGATCAATGTGCTCTAAGGGCCTGTCTACCCTATAGCTGATGGAATAACACTAAGGCTAAGAAGACCAAGAGGTGATATATTGAAGGAGGCAAGAGGAATGGGTTAGTGTTGAAAAACCATAGGAGGAGTAAGCATACTTTTGGGCCTTAGCTCCTAAGTTTTTATAGCATTTATTTTTGTTCCTATTTTTGCCCTTGTCTTTAATTTCCTATTTTACCCTTGTATTTTGGGGTATCTTAGTCATAGGATTTATTTTCTTTTGTATTTCCCATTTTACCCTTGTATTATGGGGTGTTTTGGATCATAGGTTTTTAATTTTGGGCTA